CAAGTGGATAGGCTTTAGCGGGCACTGGAGGTACCTTTTCCTTATCTTTTCTCCTCTTTCCAAGGTTCTTTTAATCTACCCTGTCCCTAGGATGTTGTTGCTGTAGTTGTTGTGTGCTGTGGTATCAGAACCAGCTCACAGGTGATCCGTTAGTGGGTTTTCAGGGGCAGTAAATTACATGGTGGAACACTGCCCACACTTCTCCTGTAAAACAGCTGGTGGATTTGAACTAAGTGCTTTCAAGACTACAGTTCTCTGTAATCTTACTACTACGCCATTAGAGCCCCCTAGGCTAAGTGAGAACATTCCATTGATTCTACCCTCAGAGAAGAGTAGTCCAACAGTCTATAAGCTCTAAAAAAACTTAAGTTATAGCTGATTCATCACAGAATCTTTTTTAAAAAACAACAACAAAAAAATCAAACCTAAATACTAAACAAATGAAGAATTATTCTGGAATGGTGGAGAGGAAGGGAGGGCCACTGGCCAGGACAGATTGCCTATGCTCCAAATAAGTGCAAGCCTCCCAACGGCCTTTAATATGGGGTAAAGAAAGCTCCCCTGTGTTCCGCTGTACTGGCTTGAGACAGCTCACCACCTGTAAAGACGGCTACCATATCTGTTGAACTGGGAGTGTTCAGCACGAGGCTGAGGTTCTCCTAACCAATCCACATGTCCCACTTCTGTAAGCCCACCCTAGCCTGTCTTCCTGTGTGTATAAGTGCAGTGCAGTCCCAATAAAACTGAGCTGGATTGACTCTCTGGTCCTCTCCTAGAGTTGTGTATCTCCATCGTGCTTACTCCCATCAGGTTGTCCCTGTTAAATTGCTGGTGAACTGACAGCGACATATGGCACCCGAACAGGGACATACCTGATGAAGTGTTGGATAGGTACCCTCTGTACTCACTCCCGCCAAGGTTCTGGGTGAGGACCCTTTGTGCTCACTCCTGTCAGGGAAGACCTGATGTAGTTTTGGGGGCCTAACGTAGTTTTGGAGGACTAACATAGTTTTGGGGGCTTAAACTTGACGAAGGTGGAAGGAAAGAGACCTGGCCTATGCCAGGTCTTCAGGTAAGCACCCCTTGCTTAGGCAAAAAGTAAGGGAAAATTCTTTCCTATTCTTTCTTCTCTTCTTTCTGCGCTTGCCCCTGTCAGGGAGCAGAGAAACCTGACACAGGTCCATCTTATCAGGCAAATGTTCCCTTGCCTTAGCAAGGGTGATTAATTTAAAAGAATTGGCAAGCAGTTGAAAAGATTCAGCAAGCAATTTGAAAGATCCTAAAGTAAAGTGTTTAATGCCTTTATTAGAAAGTAGGGAGGTCAAAGTTATGCAATTTCAAGCTTTTTCCTTTTGGACAACAGTTGTTTCTATTGCCCCTCAGATTACTGCTGCTCACATCTTTAATGTGCAGACTTGGAGCCCTAGTGGGAGAAGATTTTCACTCTGGGACCTACAATGCCCTTTTTCAGCAGGAACTAGCTAAGAGGATGCAGTGTCCCCTCTCCTAATGAATCAGGGTGAAATTTCTCTCAGGGAGAAATGACAAGGAATGGCAAAAAGACATGTTGACAAATGAGATGAATCAGAACTGGTTTTGACAAAGACTGTGGCACCATTAGAAGGCACCATAAGCTGTTTATAAAGTGTTCTGGTAGAGGATCTAAAACAGCCCTAAATAATTTAGAGAAGATGATTGCACCACCTCTTCCCTACTCTAGTCTCCCGAGAAGGAAAACAAAGAAAGCAGGTGGGGACAATATAGAGAAAGTAGTGAAGAAACGGGAAAATCTTGGGCTGAGGTGTTATGTGATCAGTGAGTTGCTGGGTGGAACTCTGAGGTACATGTGTGCTCTATTGGCGTGCACGCAACACCTGAGAATCCTTTACACAAGGTATTGTGTGATACTCGCTCTGAGGCACATGTGTTTCTTGTTGGTGTATATCCCACACCTTAACATCCTTTACAGTGATATCCATGTGCTGGGAGAGAGTTAAAAGAACTTGGGACAGCTGTTAGAGATGATGGAGCTTGTTCTCCTTGGGCGAAGGCACAACTTAATTCATTAAGCCTTAATTTAAACACCCCTCAAGATACGAGGGCAGTTTTTTTTTTTCAAAACCTCCCTTGTGTGTTCACTGGCAATCACACACACCTCCTAGTGAGCCACTAATATGGGTTACATGGAAGTATCCATTCGACCAAATATGGAAAGGGCCCGATCCTTTAGGTTTTGCTTATATTTTCCCACAGAACAAACTACATCCTCTGTGGGTTCCTGCTCAGTCATGTCCAATTTCGACCAGCCTACCGAGAAGATGTGTTGATTTAGCATCCATGACAAGAAGAAATTGAAGCTCCAGGCACCACAGACACCTGTGACCTGGGGCATGCTGAAGGCACTCAATAAACAGGCTCTTGATCCTGGGAGTGGTATACTCCCAGTATAACACTGCTTATCACTGCTCTGCAATAGTGCCATAGCAGAAGATGCTAATCAGGTTTTGTAAGCTTTTGTTTCTTCACCCACATTTCCTTTATGTATGTGTCTCTCCTCACTATCCTATATTCATCTCCCAATCCAATCCAGAAATCAAGTTATGACAATTCTAACCTTTTCTATTATCTCCCCAGTTCTCATTACAAGAGCAGCCGTAGACCTCGTCACAAGACAGAATGCCCAAGCCGCTGCACTAAGTAACCTTTCTACTCTTACAGTCATTGGATCCTCCTCCTCCCAAGAAACACCGGAGGCTCTACACCAGATACTTTCCCCTCTCTGGACTCATTTAAAAGAAAAATGGAGGAGATGTTGCAGAATCTTGGGGAGGCAGGGAGGGCCTCTGGCCAGAACAGATCTCCAGATAAGTGCAAGCCTCCCAATGGCCTTTAATACAGGGTAGAGAAAGCTCCCCTGTGTTTGGCTGTACCAGCTTGAGAAAGCTGCACTACAGATCCCAATAAAATTGAGCTGGATTGACTCCCTGATCCTCTCCCGGAGTGGTGTAGTGGTCTATCTCCGTTGTGCTTATTCCCATCAGGGTGTTGCTGTTAAGTTGCCGGTAAACTGACAGAACAAAGAATAAAAGACTAAAGGAACTAGCTAGTTCACAAAGTGGAGACCAAGCTCCGTCCTGTGTAGGATGACTGCTCGTGGATGCCATTCTGTATGTGATTAGAATGGTATAATCTATTCCTGCCATCTGTGCCTAGAAGGATCTAGGCAGATGGTCAAAATTCATTCTGCTTTAAGCACTGCGCAAACTCTTGTTTGGGCTTTTCTTGTGACCTACTAGAAAAGAGTACCAGAGCAGTGCCTATCTGTGTTTTAGTCACTATACAAAGGCATTTGACTGTGTGGATCACAACAAACTGTGGCTAATCTTGAGAAGAATGGTAATCCCAGAACAGCTGATTATGCTCATGAGAAACTTATACTTGGACCAAGAGGCAGGCCCTCAGAACAGAGCAAGGAAATAATGCATGGTTCATAATCAGGAAAGGTGTACCACCAGAGATGTGTCCTGTCTCCACACTTTTTCAATCTACATGTGGAACAGATCATTTGAGAGGCTGAATTTTATGAGGAGGAATGTGACATCAAGATTGGAGGAAGACTTATTAACAACCTGTGTCATGCAGACGACACACCCTGCTTGTTGAAACTGAGGAGGCATTTGCTGCAGAAGGTCAAGGACTGCAGCCTTCAATATGGATTGAAGCTCAACAGCAAGAAAATCAAGATTCTCACCACTTGGTCAATTGGCAACATCGTGACAGACAAGAAGAGACTGAGATTGCTAACAGCTTCAGCATGCTTGACTCCACAATCCACACCCTGGGTACCAGCAGCCAGGAAATCAAAAGACAAATTGCACTGGGAAAATCTGCTGTCAGGGACCTCTCCAGAGTACTGAAAAGCAATGGTGTCAGTTTAGAGACTAAGGTGTGCCTAATACAGGCAATGGTCTTCACAATTACTTGGTATTCATCAGAGAGCTGGACAGTCACTAAGGATAACAGAAGAAGAATTGATGCCTTTGACTTGTGGTGTGAGAGAAGAGTATTGAATATATCACGGACCATCAAAAGAACAAACCAGTCTGTCTTGGAGAGAGTGTAACCAAGGATTTTGAAGCTCTGTCTCAACATATGTTGTAAAGAAGGGACCAGTCCTTGAAGAAAGACATTCTGCTTAGAAGGGTGGAAGGACAGTACAGGAGAGGAAAACCCCAGATAAGATGGATTGATACAGTAATTGGGGCAATTGGATTGTTTCAGAGACAGACTGGCTCAGGACAGGGTGGCATTCAGAGCTATCATGCACAGAGTCACTATGAGTTGCAGGTGACTCAATGGCTGATAACACCTATGTACTGAAATGACTTCTGAATCAAGTGATAAGATCTCAGAATGTGGTAGTGGCTTGAGAAGTAAAGATAAGTCAAGACTTCCTTTGTTCTAGCCAGTGAAGTGCATCCTAGGTTAAGTACCTTTATCAGATGGGTGCACCTGAGTAGAATCTTAATCAATCCTACTCAACTGAGTAGAATCCTACTCAGTCAATCCTATTAGTCAATACTCTCTATGATTATATATTTCCCTGAAACAAAAAGGGTAGCTGGCAGAAATCAAGCCTAAGAAGTTAAAAGCAATTATCCCAGCTATCTGTAAACTGCTTGGATATCCTCACTATTTACATGTTATTTATCTATACATTTCAATTAGCACTCAAACTTAACATGAATGCTTTGAAAAGAGAGTGAAGTTAGTCATAATACGACTTTAAGACTGAAAAAAAAAATCCAGTGCTACAACTAAACAGTAAAAATAAAAGCCTAGCATCAGAAGGCAAAAATGTAATTCTTTTAGAGATCAAAGATAAAAAATCACTCTGTGATCACAGAGCAAATCACAAGTTTGCCTTACAGGAGAACTACTTTATATACTTCAAAGAGAACATATACAATGAATGATAAATAATACCATAAAATACTTACACCTTCAGCATATTGCAAGTATCTTTTATTAGTTTCCTGTTTCCCAAATGTCTCCAAAAACTTCTGACGGTAAGCAAGAACCGTATCCACATGAGTTTTATACTTTACAGCCAATTCAAGTGCCCTATTATGAGAAATAAAGAGGTTATTAGCACTGTTTGTGCCAGCCACAATGGGCAAAGGAACTTTGGAGTGAGGGGTTGAAAAGATGTTCCATGTTTCTCTGCTTATCTCTCGGATGGAATGTCATTTCCCAGCTCATTTAGTTTTCAAACACCTATTTATTCTTTAAGGTATAGATCAAGCATAGTCTTTTCTTCTTGACCATCTGCCAACATAGAAATAAGTGATCATTATTTTTATTTTTTAAAAATATACTTTATTCTATTGTGGTCTTAACAAAAGTTTACAGAAAAGTTGGATTCATTCACTGTTGCACATTTTACTTCCTTTCCTTTCCTCCTCCTCCAATTCATTTTCTTTAAATATTCATTTTTGCATAATTTCTTCCCTCCCCTTTCCTTCCTCCTCTCCTAGTCCACTTAGCAATCCACCTTTTATTGTTGTGGTCATACATAAAATGCTGTGTTCCTTTTAAACAGTTCTTTGCCTCATTTGTTCCAAGACATTATCTATCAACTCTTTTCCTATTTTTCCCCCTTGTCAGTCCTGCTATAACAGTGGTGTTATGCAGTGTTTGTCCTTTTGTGACTAAGATATTTCAATCATCATAATGTCCTCCAGGCTCCATGCTGTGTACTGCTTTACGAGTTCACCATTTTTCTGTGCTGTGTAGTATTCAATTGTATGTGCCATAATTTTCTTAACCATTTATTTATTGATAGGCCCTTGGGTTTTTTCCACCTCTTTGCTATTACAAACAGCACAGCAATAAATATGGGTGTGCATACATCTCTGGTTTCTTTAGGGTATATTCCCAGTAGTGGAATTGCTGGGTAAAATGGTATTTCTATTTCCAACCTTTGGAGATAGTGCCAGACCTCCTTCCATAGTGGTTGCACCATTTTGAACTCCCACCAGCAATAAATAAACATTCCATTCTCTCTACAATCTTGCCAATATTTGTCTTTTGCTGTTCTGTTTAACTTTGCTATTGATGCTGGGGTGAGATGATATAACTGTTTTGATTTGCATCTATCTGATAGATAGGGACTTTGAGTATTTCTTCATGTGTTTGTTCATCTGAATGTCGTCTTTGGTGAAGTGTCTGTTCATCTCATGTGCCTACTTTATGAATGGGTTGTTTACCTCTTTCTTGTTGAGATGTTGGAGTATTTTGAAATTTTAGATATGAGCCCTTAACCAGGTATGTCATTGACAAATATTTTTTTCCCAGTCTGTGGGTTTCCTTTTTACCCTGTTGGAAAAGTTTGTTGTGTTTTTTTAAAACATAAAAAATGTTTTATTTTAATGTTTTTCCCATTGTACATTTTCTTCCCTCCCCCATACCTCAGTCTTCCTCATAATGTACCCATTGTTTCGGATTGTTGTCATACATATAATGCCAATGTATTCCTTTCTATATTTGTTCCCATTCCAAAGAAGGGTGACCTAACAGAGTGTGGAAACTACAGAACAGTATCATTGATTTCACATGCAAGCGATATTCTACTGAAGATTATCCAGAAACGATTGGAACAGCACATCAACAGAGAACTGCCAGAAGTCCAGGCTGGGTTTAGAAGGGGTTGTGGTAACTAGGGATATTGTAGCTGATGTTAGATGGATCTTAGCTGAAAGCAGAGAATACCAGAAGAATGTCTATCTGTGTTGCATTGATTATGCAAAGGCGTTAGACTGTGTGGATCATAACAAACTGTGGCTGACTCTGAGAAGAATGGGAATCCCAGAACATTTAATTGTGCTAATGCGAA